AATTTGCAATTGCTTAAATTGCAATTACCACTGCGACGATCATATCTTCATTTAAATTAATTACAATAATAAGTTCAGACCGAATTGGACGGCACGAAGTTCTGTTACCAACTAATCACAACTAAACAAAATTTGGGAACAGATAATTTTTAAACATTAAAACACAAGATCCTCCGAGAGGTTTTGCTAGATATGAAAGAAAGGAACGCATTTCGCTCCCGCGCGATGGCGCGCACTGTCCATTTACTTATTAGGCTTGACGTGCACTGCCTGTTATATTCTCCGAGTAATGCTAAATCTCCTAAAAGTTAGTTCACAGTACAGTTTGACTTTATCTGCATCATTCTACAAAATCAGTTCATCGTGTAGTGATTCACTTCGAGTGAGATCAAAGTTTCCTAAATAATATGACGGAGGGGTATTGCCTATGATGTCAAAAACATAATCTATTCTCTTTTCTATCAATTAAATACATACAGCTGTACAAGAAAGTGAACCCGAGGCAATAAAACACCGAATCTATTTCACAGTAGAGTTCCAGGAATTGCTTCAATATTCCGAGAAATGTAATGCCTCAATTCACGGAAATTTGAATTAATTTTTACTTTCGAACCCTTCGCCTTCGCAACAGCGAATTGCAGCAACGTGGCTTTTTACACGAAACGGGATTTTCGCGCTATAAGTTTTCACGTTCTTCTACTGACAGTCAAGTATTTTCAGGATATTTACTTGTTACACCTTATTCGACGGTTTGTTTCTGAACTAATTGAGTACTCGTTTATAAGTACATGAAAGTCAGGGGCCTGGATTCGAGAGAAAATACATCATTGCCAAAAAGAGCCAAAACGTAATGAACATGAACATCGCCGAAAAAATAAACCACATACTCATCACGAGACTTATTTGCATATAATGAAAGTTTACGGCACTCTATCAACCAACCCCCCAATTATAACGCCGTGAATAGCTTCACAGGTAAAAAAAATAACGGATTGCCTTTTTACAGACTCGCGCTCTGTATGGGTCTTTATGTTTGAGCGTGGAAAAGATGAAATCTTTTGCTGACACATTCCAGACGTTTTCCCCTTTCGAAATCGTAGAATATGGAACGCTGTTAATACACGATTTTTGTGCTCAGTTTCAACGGTCTCCGCTAGGTACGACTTGGATCATGACTCGGCGACCAACGAACGGCTTGCATTTTTAAACTCTCGCTTGTACGCAAGCTCGTACAAATATTTCCTGATTAACATCATGAAACATTTCTCAAGAACTTCAAGTATCCATACCTAGGCTAACTCGCTCCTCAACTTTTATATCAGTATTTTGGCATAAAGAATTCCAGACTTGATGTACAAAAGAAAGCTTTCTCGCGTGTTCATTGGCGTCAAAACCTGAAATGACTTAAAAACGTTATATAAAATAGGCTTCTTATTTTCAGTTCAAACTTCCCTTTGAATAATTCATAATATTATGTAAATGTGTGCAACAAAATTGTTTAAGAACTGACCCGCCTCGATTAGCCTTTACTATCTGCGGGTCAAATCATATTCTGTGTTAATGTTCTATAAATTCTATAGTTATATAGCTGGAAATTTTTTCCCAACAGCGCGTGCTCTCATTGGCTATACTTCGAGGTCACATGGCATCTAAAAATGAAACTGTTAACCGCCAAATGTTGACCCACGACCGCCGTTACAGCAAGGTTTAATGAATTTCCAGCTTCAAAATTTCTAGCTCTATAACAAATCACTTAAAGACTGGTCCCTCGGGAAACAGTTACAATTTTGTTTTCCTCAAATCTCAATGTTTCCCTCGGCTCCACTTCGAGAAACATTAAGATTCTCGGGAAACAAAATTATCTGTTTCCTTCATTAAGTGTTTAACAAAGTCTAAGTAAAACGTATTACCTTCCAGTAAGCGTAGCAAAGGGTTGGTCAGCTCTGATGCCGTAAGTAATATTTAATATATAGATTTAGCCAGGGCTAAAAGGGAAGCTCCCATCAATAAATTTATAATTTAAATCAAACAATAAACTTGTGATCCAAAAATCAGTTAAGTTAAGGGTACATTCATGTGACTTTTGAGGGAAATGCTAAATTATTTTAGAGTGAAACATCTTACATCGAGTTGATAGCCTTATATGTACACCCAAAAAATAGCAAACATCTTCGATCACATTCAAGAGCCATAATGGCTCTTGATTACAGTAGATTAGGCCTCGAAAACAAATTCTTGGAAAACAAGTAACTCTAACAGTTTCCACTGGGCGCACTTTAATTTTTTTAATCGACTTTATTAGTAACTTTTAAGAAAAAAAACCTTAGATAATTTGTACAATACTGAATAGGCAGCTAAATACACTAATTACAGTTAGGGCCTGTTTGCGTGGAGGGGGGACCCCAGGTAGGCGTCCTATGCATACAATCTCTCATATGGTCACCCCATCGATCATGTAAATGTGATCAAATTCTTAAAATAAGAGATTATATGGACGGGCGGGTTACCCCACCTGAAGCGGGCTACCTCACCTACCTGGAGTCCCCCACTTTCAGGTAAACAGCCCCTAAATTAAGTGAAGTAAAAAGAGACCCCCAAAACACAAGCTAAACAAAAAACAAAAACAACAAAAACAAAAACAACAAAAACAAAAGCAAAACAAGAAAGGTTTACATATTATGCGCACAGAAAAAGGTATTACCACAGAAGAAAGTACTCAATAGAGAAGATTTCAGATATTGTTTGAACTAAGCAGCATTTTCATTTGGAATGAGGGGAACGCAGTCACATCAAGCTAAGTCTAATCTCGAATAATTAACTTGGATATAAATTCGAATGTAACCGCTTTCTTTTGCATTGTTTTACATGCGTAGTGGTACTGTTTTACATATAACACTGAGAAGAAGACGCAAGTCCTTTATCTGTTTATTAGATACTATTAGATTTATAGTTGCAGCACTACTGAAGGGATTCGTCACATAATTTCTTCTGACATTCACTGAAGAATATATGTTTAATGGAGTCGTTCTCGCTACATATAACACACTTCATGCAATCGGATATCCCAAAGCGTTTCAATTCCTTGTTGGTGGCTTCTATTCAGTAAATTGCCTCAACTTCTTATGCCGAAAATGTTTATAGTTGCTTTGCATGCAGTGCATCCAGTTGACAATGGTTCTTCTGCGATTTGATGGAACTCGGTTCTGTCTTAATATTCTCAGCAAACAGTTTATAAAACTGGTCGCAGGAAGTTTTCTTTAAGTTTAGAGTTACATCTTTAGCTAGATGGAAATCAAACTTACACAAATTGAGTTACTGTAAGATTTTTCGATTCCCAAGGTCCGTATGAGCAGATGCCTAGCTTTTAAGATGTGTGGGAATGGCTGAGATGAGCTGATAGTATTGACACCAAATTCTTGATCTGATAGGAAAGGTAGTTGCCTAGATCGTTCTTCAAGTCCTGCATAACAATAACATTCTTGTACGCCAAACCTTCCAACAGACCGATTTGTTTCAATTACATTTATGTCCCTGCTATTCCACAAAATATATTCACGTTTCAATGGATCTCCATAGTTTCTACGCAATTCTTGAAAATATTCGAGTAGTTGATCGTTGGTAGAAACAACAGTCCGCCTTATTTTTCAAAGTGATGCGGTTGAAGATTGCCGTGCAATTATCATTCGTGTTGCTTAACTGCTGATATAAGGCGAAGCGCTTTGACGGTACGGTCATGAAACGAGGGAATTTCAATCCATCTTTGGATAATGGGCAGAACAAAATCTGTCTCTTGATCTTATCTGTTTTATTCTTCCAAAGAAATGCAAATAGTTTTTTTGCGGGGAGGCGTCTGCAGTATTGCGAATAACTGTTTCTGGAACAGAAAGCATAGATGCTATGTAGGTCATAGCCTGCAAAGTGCAGACGTATTTCCGGTCATCGCTTCTCTCCCTCCGAAAAATACGTCGTTATTTTTCGGAGGGAGAGAAGCGACGACCGGAAATACGCCTGCGCTTCGCAGGCTATGTAGTAAACTGGCATAAACCGAGAGATTTTCTTCCAAAGACCGTTAGGTCACGCGAGAGCCAAATATGGGAGCTTTGCTTCCATTTTTCTTATTTTGATATAAAAAGTTGTTGTTATCATTTCCAGTCACATCGTCGGAAAGGTATATTTCAAGAAGTTTGATTGGATCTTTTGGGACAATGAAGTTCGAAGGGTTTGGTCTTGTGTTAGCCTTTACTATCTGCGGGTAAAATCATTTACTGATTGTTCTATAAATTCTTATAAAGTATAAATAAAAAATACTACCTTCCAGTAAGCGTCGCAAAAGGATGGTCAGCTCTAGTGCCGTCAGCAATATTTTATAATTCTAAAAGTTCCCACAGAGAATACATTTTAAGCTAACAGAGAAAAGAGAAAACTATCCCTGCCAATAACGTGTTTTCAAAAGGATAATAATTTTTTTTTTTCTCAAAAAGTAAAGTCTTTGTTGATTCTAAAATATTTTAGAATCGAGGCAAAAATTTGTTGCAATACTTTAGGAAATCAATAATTAGCGCTACAATAGTGCTGTACTAAACTTTTTGTCTTATGTCAAGCGATTTCGACTGGTCCAGTGAGACTCGAGGTATCATATATATTTTGGGAAAAACATTGACACATAGTTATTAAATTTGTACTGATTAGATATTACAAATTATTATTGTCGATGTTGAAACAAACGTCTTCTTACTCAAAATACTGAAAGAATGACAGCAATCCATGGACATGTCCTGATATACATAGTACATGCCTTAAATGAGTTGCTCTGACTTATAGCCGGGTAGTTTCGGACTTGTTCTAATTACTGACTGAATTCTGTTTCTTCGCTCTAATTTTTTCACATGGTTAGGTATACTGTTTACACAACAATTGGAACTGAATGCAACAAAACCCAAGCTTTTCGTTCTCTTAGTGAACGTTTCAAGACTAGACTATTAATAACAAAATCACTGGCGATGGAAGATAAATGTGGTGTCAAGAAAATAGAGCTATCGTGCTATCAAAAACTAGGAGAAGTCTCTGAGTTTCTCGGTGAATATGTCAAGGCTAAAGAATATTACATAAAAGCACTTGCCATCGCAGAAGAAAATGGCGACGGGGAAGCAGAAGCGGCATGCTGTGAAAGGCTAGAAAGACTCTTCCAGGTTCTTGGTGAATATTCCAAGGCTAAAGAATATAACGAGAAAGCACTTGCTATCGCAGAAGAAAATGGCGACAAGGGAACACAAGCAGCACGCCATGGATGCCTAGAAAATGAATTTCAGTCAGTTGGTAAGGAAGACGACCAGACCGATAAAGAAGATTGCAAAATATTACCTGCAACCGCTGAAAAATTGGGCGACAGAAAAACAGAACCTTCTTCCGATGACAAACTTGGAAACCTCTTTGAATCTCTCGGTAAAGCTATCAAGGCTAATAACTGTAAGGATATTGAGGAAGGCAGAGGTTACAGCCTCCTAGGAGCATGTTTTGCGGTGTTGGGTGATAGTGCCATGTCTAAACAATATTTCGATGAAGCGCTCAGATTGTGCAGAAAAACAGACGACAAAGAAGGCGAGTCATTCTGTCACTTCCTTATGACATTCGCATTGAAAGAAATTTTTTTGCCAGCATCGATAAGAGTGCGCGTATTCAAAATTTCTTGCAAGATCATGACCAGTTTAAGGTATTGTTTTTCGAAAAGTTCAATAAAAACTATCGACACCTCAGTCAATTGCTTTGTGCGTTTGGAAATACTCACTGTGAGGGTCTTTACATGGAAGAAATTGGACGAGCAAGGGCCCTCGCAGACTTAATGTCATCTAAGTACTCTGTAGAAAACGAAATACCAGTCAACTTAAAGACATGGGGTGATCTTGAAGAGATCGTGAAAAAAGAGAGAAACTGTGACTGTCTTTACATTTCATACTGTGGCACATTTATTAATTTGTGGGTTCTCAAAGTAAGCAAGCCTTTATTTTTCCGGAGAATAAACATTAATGAGTATACTTCAGGCAAAGCATCATCTGGCAGAGTAGATGACCTTTTTTCTCACGAGTTTTACAGACAGGCAAACTGCTCCACTCCAGAGGAGTGCGAAGAACGACCCTGGTTTCCTTCAAACGTTTGCTCAGAGCAGGTGTGCGAATCATCTCAGGGCGATAGTCCTGCGGAGTCTCGCCTTATGAATGAGGATTGCGAGGAGCCCCCTGATATTCTTGCTGACAACTACAAAATGATCATCGACCCTGTAGTCCACTTGCTTGATAAGCCCGAAATCATCATTGTTCCTGATCGCCTCTTCTTCAAACTTCCATTTGCAGCGCTAAAGGACAAAAGAGGAAAGTATTTATCAGAGTCTTTCAGGATCCGAATCGTCCCTTCTTTGACGACTCTCAAGCTCATTCAGGACAGTCCAGCAGACTATCACAGTCAGACTGGTGCACTAATAGTAGGGGATCCTGATGTTGGTCTCGTGTTTTACAGGGGAGAACGTAAGAGGAGATGGCACTTGCACTCTGCCAGAGAGGAGGCAGAGATGATTGGAGATCTTGTCGGCTCTCAGCCTCTTCTTGGAAAGCAAGCGACGAAGCAGGCGGTCATTCAAAACATAAATTCAGTGAGTTTGATACATTTTGCTTGTCATGGTGATCCTGAAAAAGGTGAAATTATTCTCGCCCCTTCACCCCTCTGCTGCAATAGGATCCCTCAAGAAGAAGACTACTTGTTGACAATGGCAGAAATTTCACAAGTTCGAGTGCGAGCCAAACTGGTAGTGCTTAGCTGTTGTCACAGTGCAAAAGGAACCATCAGTTCAGAGGGAGTGGTTGGAATTGCTCGCGCATTTCTAGGATCTGGTGCACGTTCTGTGTTGGTGGCACTGTGGGCCATAGACGACGAAGCAACAAAGCAGTTAATGAGTCGTTTCTACTTGCACCTTGTTGGTGGGGAAAGTGCCAGCGAATCTCTTCGCCAGGCCACGAAGTGGATGATAGAAAACCGTTTCCCTGTGGAACAGTGGGCACCTTTTACGTTAATTGGCGATGATGTGACACTGGATTTTCACAAGTTAAGGTGAGTATAGATTAATCAAAATTATTTACTTTAACAGCGGTTTTGTCGCTCACCTTCCCTGTACTTGTCCCTACCAATCCAGGTTCAGCTTGTGAAAAGACTTTATGTAAAAAAAAAATATAGAAACTTTGGGTCGGGTTGTAAATAGCCACAAAGATGTCTGATATAAATTTCAACTGAGTTCATTATCTCAAGAGAATATATGATCAACAATTCTGTTCATTTGTGTGAAAAAACTCAAACCAGGTGCAAAGCTAGCCCAAGCCGGTAATCCCGGCTCACATTTTTCTATAGTCCGATCACACAACCACTTACATGTTTCTGGGGCGCCAGCCAAAGAGTTTAAAAGCAGTAAGTTTGGGAGATGGTTCGTAAGCTCTATTCATATGTGTAATCAACAGAATTATATATATAAATAAAACGTTTCTTTCAGGACAAGTGGAAATGAAATTCCGGCCGGCAGAGCATAATACCAAATCTCCTTGACAAAAGAGCCAGATGGAAAAGCTGGCAACGCTCCTGGTGATAATAACTCTTTGGACAAATTTCACTACGGATTAAAAACGAGTTAAGCTAACGATCGAGTAGATTTTGACAATTGGCGTTGATCTTCTGATTGGCATCAACCATTCCAGACACTCGCGTTTGGAACCTGTTTGTAGACCCTCAATGTTCTCTCTAGAGACCGTGGAGCGCTCGTATTTTTGTTAGATTGAAATAAAAACCGCGGGTAATTTATTGAGGACTGGTGCAAGGGGGTGAGGGTATGTAAATGATCTGCAGCTTCCCGCTCGATCCCAGGCTCTCCAAATTCATTGGGAAAAAAACGAAACCCCCCCTCCCCCCCAAAAAACAAACAAACAAACAAACAAAAAACGCCAGTGGACAATAAAATTGTTTCCCAAGCTATTTGCGGGAGGGAAAGTTATTTGTAATAGTAACCGCAGGCTCCTGGTAACCGTGGAGTGTATATTAAGTTTGCTATTATTATTATTATTATTATTATTATTATTATTATTATTATTATTATTATTATTATTATTATTATTATTATTATTATTATTATTATTATTATTATTATCATCATTCGTTCTATTTATTTATTGGTTACATTTTTTAGGGGAGCAAGTTAGGAAACGCAGTCGAGATTTCCGCTAGTGAAGAAGTACAAGAAATGACTGGGGAACACAAGCGTTTGCTTCTGTTAGTCCAGGGTAATCGACATGAGACGAATCTATTGTCAATGAATATAATAACGTTGTTATCGCTCATTAGCTTAAGCTTCGTCCCATGTGAAGTAGACGTTTGCCCCTGACAGCTTCAGTCGTTACACTAAACACCATATAAAATCTGAAACAAGTGGTGTATATATCATAGAAATGTAAAGTACTAATTAAAAATACTGTATGGAAAACAAGACGATGTAAAAGCGTTCTCATGGGTGAATAAGATGTCAAAGACCCGGGGAAAATTAAAAATAACCGAATAAGAATGTAAAACGACCAGAGGTGCTATGCAAGTCACAGAATTTAGGATTGGCTTACATTTATCTAGATTCACTTCTAGGTAATTCAAAAGGTGTTTAAATAATTAAAAATGTCTTCAGAGGTACATTTCAGTGTACAGACCATTCTTGCTAGTCAATGGGACAAAGATCAGACAGCTTAAACTTATTACTTTGAATGTTCTTAGAGGGTTTGAATGGGGTTTAGTGTTTGGTGTTATTTCTCCATTAGTTTTAGTGTTTGTTGTTAAATTGGCCAGTTTTTTAATGTTTACTCTTTGCGGAGAAAATACTGTTAAGTGTTTAGAAGATTTTTTGTAAAAAATCCATAATCTTTTAGCACTGTCAGTTCTTATCTGCTTCTGGAAAATAGGTAACGAAATCAGTCATGAGCTTTGAGCCTGGGCTCAAAGGGGCTGTTGCAGTCTTCAGACTGATATTCCGTAGTCTTCCGAAATCTTCGGCAGTCGTCGGAAATCTTCGGTAGTCTTCGGAAATCTTTTGAAATAATCGAGAATTGTCGGAAAATAGCCAAAACTCCTTGATATACTTAACGAAATAATATTGGCCTTTTGAAGCTGTTTTAGTTTCTTTCTGGAAAAAAAAAATACTCTCCGGTGAATTAAGGAATGGGGCACTGTAAATTTGGAGGGGGTGGTCTGTTTTAGTAGGGATTTTGCCTTTCGTATTAATATTTTAAATTCAATATCTACTCTCCATAAGCATTCATTTTTCATTATTACTAATGTATTATCTGTGTCACGTGACTTGCCACACCCATTTTTGACTTTTTATTTCAATCCAAATTTACACCACTTTATAAATAACACTTGTAATTTAATTCACTTTTTGTCAATGACTATTGACACAAAGTTTATGGAATTAATCGGGGTTTTCTTAAATTTTCTACGTTTTGTAAACTATAACGTTTCTTGTTAAGAGGGAGACTGGGACGAGAGAAAAATATCTAATAATTACGAAGGAATGGATCATTTCACAAATCCCCGATTAATTTAGCTTATTTGACTGTAAATGAAATATTATGGAAGGAAAAACTATTGTGGTCACATTCAGTAAACTGGTGTAATCTGCAAAGTCCAAATTTTGCATAATTATGGGCGTGGCTAGTCACGTGATCTAAAAAAAGGAGTGCTTAAGGTCCAAAGTGGTTCTGGTCTTAAACACAGCGGTCTAAGATTAAAATAAAGGAAGATACTGGAAAAAACAAGATCAAGTCATAAAACCCCGCATGTAACGAGGACCCATTCCTTAATTCACCGGAGCTGTTAAAGTGAATTTTTTACTGTTAGTGTTAAAATACCCAAGTTTTAACTGTTTCATGTTACATGCAATCATGCAGAGCCAAAAAATTAAGTGTTTAGTGTTATCGAGGTACTCCTATTCAGACTCTCTTCTTAAGGCTTGTCATGCAACCTCTCCTAAAGCATCCCACCGCACGCGATAGAAAGTCTCTAGTACCAGGATTACCCAGGAAAAATCTACACAATTCCAAAGCAGAGATAAATTTATAACCAAAAAGTTTTCTTATCTGCTCTGGCGAAGACATTTAGTGTATGTATATTACATTTGGTCAAGGCCAAAATAAAAGCTCTCGTGCGATCTTTTTTAAAGGGGAAGTCTTTCTGCAGTAATCTAACATTTGCCATAAATAAGAAACATACTGGGCCCAGTTGTTCGAACGCCGGTTAGCGCTAACCCGGGCTTAAATTTTAACCCGGATTGCTTTATCTTTTTATGAAAAGCACGCTCTCGGATAATTTTCTCTCATTTTTTTAGAGTATCCAATCATCAAATTGTAGGCAAAGAGAATTAAATTGAATTTGCTTCTTAAGCTCTCATATCTGATTTCAAATTTCCCACTAACCCTGGGCTATCTTAACCTAACTTCGAACAACCCGGCCCTGAATTCCTCCTCAATTGAAAACCAGTCACTGGTAAGCGGAGAATAACAACAACAAAAGAAAAACACGTCACCTCAGTGAGTTGCACACCTGAGCCCGCGATACAGGCATGTGACATAAGTTAGCGGAAACCTTTTTGACAGCTGTTAACTGTCCATAAGTTGGATGTCCAAACACTGGCTCAACACATATTGCATATACCTTGGACTCCAAAAGGGTAAAGAGAGCCATTTTAGATCCATTAACATGAATGGGTGGACTTACGTACGTACAGCGGAAAACTTAAAAAAACACGTGACCTCGATGGGTCGCTAGATAAATGAATCTGCCATACCGTCGCGTGGTAATGGTCAGTGGATCCTAATTTTGAAATCATTTTTTTGCTTTCATAAGAATGGCAAGTTGCTGCGTCAAATACCCTGTAAAAACAATGTTAAATGGCATTTGCTGGTAAAATAAAAAAAAGTGCAGAACTAAACATATATGAGACGTCATTTTTAACAAGGAAATTTCAATGTGAAATATTTATGAGGAAAAGAAAGAAAGAATAGTTGTTTTCTTGTTTTTAGTAAGTCTGTGGTATTTTTTCTTAAAAGGAAGACGAAAAAGAAAGCAGACAAGGACGAAGGAAGCCAAAACAAGGTTCTGTAGAAGTATCTTGGCGATGTGTTACCGTGCCCTCTTGTAAAAACAGTGATTAAATAAATTTGCTTATTATATGAATGAGTCTGTTTTCGCCATGCGATTGGTCAATTTGCGGTCCGTAACTTGCTATACGGATCAAAATTTCAAAGAAAATGCTCATTTCGGAGGGAGCTCTAAATCTCTTTACCTCGGAAAAAAAGGTTGAAATTAAGGTACAAGACGTCTATCAACCTTGAGGACTTAGATTTCGACTTTGTCCTTCAACATTTATGTGTGAACGAAGGCGATGAAGAAACTAACTCGTAATCTTGTCGAAGAGGATTCTAGTCAGTGTTTGAAAATTTTATCGTAGTACACAGTTAAGAAGACGAAAATCGACTGGCAGAGATTCGAGATGTTTTGCCTAAGAGAAAATGAGTAATTCCTTCGACAAATATGATAANCTAAACATATATGAGACGTCATTTTTAACAAGGAAATTTCAATGTGAAATATTTATGAGGAAAAGAAAGAAAGAATAGTTGTTTTCTTGTTTTTAGTAAGTCTGTGGTATTTTTTCTTAAAAGGAAGACGAAAAAGAAAGCAGACAAGGACGAAGGAAGCCAAAACAAGGTTCTGTAGAAGTATCTTGGCGATGTGTTACCGTGCCCTCTTGTAAAAACAGTGATTAAATAAATTTGCTTATTATATGAATGAGTCTGTTTTCGCCATGCGATTGGTCAATTTGCGGTCCGTAACTTGCTATACGGATCAAAATTTCAAAGAAAATGCTCATTTCGGAGGGAGCTCTAAATCTCTTTACCTCGGAAAAAAAGGTTGAAATTAAGGTACAAGACGTCTATCAACCTTGAGGACTTAGATTTCGACTTTGTCCTTCAACATTTATGTGTGAACGAAGGCGATGAAGAAACTAACTCGTAATCTTGTCGAAGA